TTTTCTTTTGAAAAATCAGATTTTTCAATTCGTTAGAGAACCAGATAGGAAATTTCTCGCTGTAAGAATGTGCCTTTATTGGAACAAACATATTAAAGCAGTCGAACAGTACCAAGTAAAAGCTCTTAACAGTTTCGTTTAGATCGTCCATCATAATGGATCGCCAATCAAAGGAAAGAAAATATTCATTAACCAAATCAAAATTGGCATTTTTAAAGTCATAAGAAAAATAATTAAGAGGCTTCAGAAATTTAGCTTTAACAACAGGTATGGAAAACTCTAGAGCTGGGTGATAACGATCACATCCCACCAGACCGTCAGATGTTACAAGTGAAATAGGCCCAAAGTTGGCAAAACATAGATCCAGGATTGAACCATGATCGTTAGCCACCCCATTGTATTGAGACAGATTAAGAGAAGCAGTACTATCGCATAACAATATTTCCTTAGTTGTCCTTACATTTCCAGGTAATAAACCCGAGAGATCCTCACTAGTGGACCACGTTATTTGGGAAAGATTATAATCTCCAAGAACAAGCACATTATCAAACATTTCACAGGCACTAGCAACTGATTTCAAATGGTTTTCATAATGGAGCACATCCATGGTAGGTGGAATGTAGACACAGCCAATACAGAAGACCATGTCACCCAGCGTAACAGACACCCACGTTTCCTCGACCGATGCTTCACCAATTGACAGGCGATGAGATTTTAGGCAATTATTTACTGCCAAAAGGACCCCACCTCCACGGCTTTTAGTACTGTTCAGACTGCTTCTATCAGAGCGATAAACCGTGTAACGCGAGTCAAGAAATTCGGCATCACAGATACTACAGTCTAGCCAGGTTTCCGTAAGTGCAATAACTGAGAAAGACTCGGCGCGAGCCGCACAGAAAGCATCTTTGAGTTTGGTTTTTAAGCCTCTTACATTTTGGTAGAGAAAGGAAGCACAATCTAACGAGACTGGTCCTCTCTGTCTCCTCTCTGAAAATTTGCATTGGACGGTTTTGCCCCCATACGACGAGGATGAAACTCCTTGACAGCAATGCCTACTGGCCAGAGGTTAGGATCCAGCAGGCCCTTCAAAAGTGATTCTTTAACCCCAATTTTAAATGAAACCACATCTTCATTTTTGTCCAACACCAAGCATTTGACATCAGGAATGGAGAGCTGATTCTTCAAATAGTTAGAGATCTGTTCCTCAGTGGTACTCGGATCACATCGACCCAGATATAGCCACTGGCGTCTCTCACCTGCAGAAAAAAGACCTCCATCAGCACCTGTGCCAATTAATACAGGATTATTACTTGAGCGGTCCGATACTCTCACAGGATTAGGCACTGATTGGCGCTCTATGCTGCGGATCGGTCGCTGGGACTTTTGCTGTCCAGCTAGTTGCAGGCTATTAGATGACTGAAAGCTTCTTGATTCATTCCTGATGGGTACCGCCCGCAGATTAGGAGGGAACTGAGATGGGGTTTGCGAAGAACCTGAGCAGCTTGATGCAGTTTTCATCCAAGAACTTATCCAACTAGGCAACTTCTTAAAATTCAGTTTCCTATACCCAAGACTGCATTGACGCAAAATTCACTAATTTATAAAAGTAGGCAAATTTTTAATCATCTGCCTGTTAACTTAAGGCAGATAATGTCTGCCCAGCGAATCTGTGTCTACGGGGCAACGGTGAGGGGAATGCAGTTGTAAAAAAAAAATGGCTGATTTCATTCATAAAATACCCAGCTGCGTGCCAAATTTTTTGGAAGTCTTATCGTATTGCAACTCGTACACGAAAATTGACAATGACCAAACCTCCGTCACTGGATATTTCAATATAAATCGATATTCCAAGATGGGAGGATAAAATGACGTCAGGTCTGGCCAATAGCGAGACATAAGGTGACGTTGGCTCATTGACAACCGTATGGTTTCCCATGGCAACGGCGATCCTGCCAAAAACTCCACCAATCAGGTTCATCCAGGCCGGATGCTTGCCAAATTGTCAAAAGCGGATGGTATATTTAGAAAATGTTTATTTTTTACAATAGATCAAATTGAAGAAATCAGGAGAAATAAGAATAGATCTAATAACCACGTTAAAATATTTAGCGTTTTATTATTGTTATCAATATTTTGTTATTAAAAAATGGATTTTCAAATGAACTATAGGTAGGTACTTCATGTCTAGTATTTTCGCTTTTTTATAATTAAACGTGGCAATATGGCGCATTTACATCCGAATTCCTGCCGTAGACTCAGATCCGCTGGGCAAACAATAGGTGGTTTTAAAAAATTTAGACTAGAGCTCAAAACATTTTTACATTGTAAAGCCTACTATCATATTAATGAATTTTTAAATGGAAAATTTTAATTTTGTTTGTTTCATTGTTTTGTTTTGTTCTGACCGCAACCTTTATGTTTTTTCTGTATTGGCTGTACCTTCTATATGACTCTATAGTTTGATGTAGTAAAAATTGTACATGTGTTGCTTAGGATTGTGCTTTGACATTCATGTTTATGTTTATTGTTTATTTTATTGATTGTACCTCTTTTTTTTTTATAACCCGTTAATTTTTAATTACTTGCACATTATTTAAGATCATGCTTTGTCAATGAAATTTATTTTCCGACAATAAAGTATATTTTGATTGATTGATTGATTGATTGAAAAATTTACCCTCTTACATTTTTAATATTTTTCTGGAAAACTGGCAAAGGGAAAATTTTGAAATTTTTCCCGGAGAAAGAGGAAGTTGAGGAGCTCATTTTAGCAAAATTTCAAAATTTGCCAGTGAAAAATTACTGCATGAAAAACTATGGAAAATTGATTTGTGACGCTACTAAATAAGTTGCTCAAGAAAATTCTACTTCTCACTTTTTACTTTTTTGAAGTGTCTGACTCGTGTCATCATTTTTACACGAATTAGGGTTCCGTCAATCAAAGGTTGGTCCTTATTAGCGGCCACATACTGAGATTTTAGTCGAGCAAACTATAAATTAAAATTTTAATTAGCAAAGACTAAAAAAAGAGGTTGAGAAATAAGTAGTCAAGTCATGTTGAATGAAGAACCAAAAGACTAGACGATGACTATGTATAATCTAGGAGAACGAAAATTTGTGGAAAATAAATCTTTATTTTCAAGATCAACATTTTTTTATTTGTCTTAAAATCTCATGTACTTATCACAAAAAGTAAGTATGTAGAAGAAAAGACAAAATTTATGTACCTACAATAAAAATGAGACAAAACACAAAATAATGACAATTTTCACTTTTTGAAGGCTTACAGTCGTTTTAGCCTACACAAACTTTGAAACCTATGCAATTTTTAAATACTAATTTTAAGCAATGTGGTTTTTACAAAACACAAAAAAAAAATTCTCTGCATAAGTTGGCTTGTTTCAATTTCAAACTGTAAACTCAAGCGACAAATAAACAATTAAGGATTCTAAAAATAATAGAAAATATAAAAAATTATTACATTATTTAACAAAATACTTAGCTACCTTAAATTAAAACTCTTGAAGACTTTTATTGGCTAGATTGAGTTCTACTTCTCTAGTATTTCTACACAAATCTCGTCAATAAAAAAAATAATATATTATAAATATTTTGGTCTAAATTTCTATAAATTATCAAAGTTGAATAGGAGGCACCGGCTGGGTCGGTACCAATGGACGGTTTTTAGAGACTAAATGAGCATTATAAATTTTGCTCTATGATAAAATGGCCAATGTTGCCTTTGGAACAATAATTTACTAAAGGACACCTTATTAGAGTAGTCCAGATACAGAGTAATAATTTATGATTGAAAATGTATCTGGGTTATTTGACATTATTAGGTGAGCGACTTTTTACTAAATTATATTTTCATTGTTATACAGGGTGTATACCTACATATAAGTGATGATTGAAATTACAATAATACTTAACTGAAACAACTCTTTCTTTTTGTATACTGTTGGAAACACCCTGTATATTGTAAATAATCAACTACACCACTAATATAAATCACTATAAAAAATAAAATACACTATTACTGGTAGGTACTAAGCGATATAATTCAGACTATGTCACACATTTCAATTATCGAGATATGGCTTATCTTTTTTACTTTTATTCGTTTTATAAAGGCAACCCTTAATATCACCTTATCTGAGTCATGAGTAATATCAAATGTAGGCACTACGTCGCTTTGTACTTTCTAATTAGAAACTTAAGCTTATATTGTACAAATGGTTTCTATACATTTTTGACTGCATTAGCTTCGATGTTATGGCTGAAGGGGAAGACAATGGTCTAGATTTCAACAAAGCACATTTTATTTAGACCTAATACTAACAAACTAATCGCCAGTCAATTGTTAGCCCTTCAAAGGGGTAGAATCCTCATATTATCTCAGATATGAAAAAAAACATACTTGAACGGAAGATAAGAAAATGATAGTGCAATTTCCTGAAACCCTTTCCTAAAAGAGCAAGAGCTAGAATCAATCCAGTCCAAACCTGGAGAGCAAGTCACTTTTGTGATTGATGGCAGTTGGTCCCCATAAGCATAGGAAATAAAGCAAGCCATCCAAAGGGATTAAATTCAGAACAATAATCGCATCTGTCCAAAATGTGATGGCAAAAATAGCAAGTTTATGTTTCAACTATTGTCACATGATGCACTGTTTTGATTTTTGGAATCCTTTTCTGTTGTATCCTGGTTTTTTGTATTGAAAGAACCAACATTTTGACTTTTAAAGTTACACTAAAGCCTGTTGAGATAGGGAGAAATGTGGTATTTGAATCTCTAGATTTTTAGTCATAAAGTATTGGTCTTTCTGTGGGCATGTTTCTGTTTTTTGTTAATTATTATTTATCAATAATTCATTTAAGAAAAATGTCTCATGAAAAACCACAAATAGAACCGTCGCCACCACAAAAGCTCATCAAAAATGCGCTGACATCAAATGTCTCGAATCACATATAAACACTGACACACCTTTCTTTTTACAATTAAAAAAAAGTCTTTATACAAAACTCGTCAAAATAATGCGTTACCCTTGTGTTCCTCAATATTAATACAAAGCTGGATGCTAAAATTGTGAATAGCGGTACTGACAAGTGGCTGGCTGAATTATTGTAAATCCAGCAATAGGGGCACTGTGAGCTGCCGCATACTTGGCAAATGTCGAGTACGTAGGAGGAGAGAGCGTCGATGAGAGTTTCGTTGAATCGTTCTGGAAAAGATAAAAATATTTGTTATTTATTTCATTTTTTTTTATCATTATGTATTTCATTAACAGCAAGCGGAAAAAACCGTTGAGGCTGTTGAATTGTATTCGTTTTTCCCTTTAAGGCCCGATATATTCATCTTCAGATAAAGTTGCTGGTAACTATCTGCAAGATAAATTTACCGTTCTATAATTCTATTGGTCGATCAATGGGATCAATGAGATTGCGTTTTTATCTGTCAGATTGCATCACGGAAAAAAAAAGTTCTAGACCAAGGAATACTTTTATCAGTTAATATTGGTACGATCGGCCTATTTTTGAAAATAAACTTAACAAGCTCATGCACATGATTTCCAGTTCCTTCATCCACTATCGGGCATCGGCACGCGTAGTCATAGTTTTTCCTGTTTTCAGGACGTCTCATGCAGGAATTATTTTGTGTTATTTATTATAGAAGGGCTTTTGGAAGACTGGAATTTGTCTGAATTAACCGCCAAATTTAAGGGTTAATACCACTTAATAAACGCCTGTTTCTGATGATATGTGAGCATTTCCTTACCAGCAACCCAGCTACAAGACGCACATTCCTAGATAGACATTGGCCGTCCCCCTCAATAAACGGGACCTCTGCCCCTGAGTTCAGGTAGTTATGTCAAGCTGATAAAAATATGGAAAATACTTGGATCACACACTTCCCTTCAGCTCGTGGTTTCAAACCAAGGGTTGCTTCTTGCTTCTTCCCTATCAAGGGTTAGCACAAAGGCATTATCACCAACTCAACGCAAACTGCCTCAAACATCAATAAACACTGGAGCGAAAATGAGGAACTATTTCTAAACCTTTTCATCATTTTAGTTCCGTTTACGAGGAGAAGAAACCTGAAAATCCGTGCAACTATAACCCTTAAGAGAACGTTAGCATTTTTCATTAAGGTAAAATACTCAGGACTCACATTCGATCACAAATTTTACAAAAGCCATCTAAATGGAACTATCTCTTGAGAAGAAGTGGCTATTTGGACATGCCGCAAAGTTGTTGGCAAGACATGGAAGCTCAAACCTAGAGTGGTATGTAGATTTGTTTGAATGGAGATGGCACAGAGGCGTTCTCTACCACTGCAACCTTATCAGATTTATTGTGGTATCTCCTATCTGTCCTTAGAGTGCGTTCTCTAGACCCGTCCTTTTTATTAGACTCCAGAGCTATGATACTGGCCACCCCATGTAGCTTGGCGGATTGGGCTTTTCCTCTCCAAGCCTCGCACCATAATACATGTACGGCAGTTTTTTTCGCCTCCTGGCAGAACCTACACAGGCTATATCCTCTGCCAGGTTCATTCTTTCCAGGTGCTTGTTGAGTTTACAATGCTCTGTTAATTAGCCTACTGTTATCCAAACAATCTTGCGGCTGTGGCTTAGTAGGTCCGCTGTGAATTTGGGCGAGCAGGATTTGATAAACTGCTTTGCCTGTCGTTGTCCTGGTGTTCGCTGCCACCAGCTCCGGGACTCTCTGTCTATCCAGTTCTTAATAGATATTTCAAAACTGCCTGCAGAAATTCCGCAAAATGTTTCTGGGCCTATCGTCTCAGTGGCCAAGTCATCAGCCTTTTCATTTCCTGGGTGGCCCTCGTGGCCTGGTACCCAGGCTATGGTACGTTTGCTGGACAGGCCCACCTCCTCTAGGGCACGTACACAGTCCCCAACCAGCTTGAAGCTGATCTTTTGGGAGCTGATTGCCTGGCTGTCCGAGTAAATACCGCGATGTTTTTACTCCCAACTTTCCTTTCATTTATCAGTATGGCACAGTGCATTATTGCAGCAGCGATTTCCGCCTGAAACACCGTGGCGTACTATCCGAGAATTGTGGATATTTCCACCCTGGATTTGTCCCCGTAGATGCCGGCTCCGACCCCCTTGCTGGTCTTGGAGCCGTCGGTGTACCAGATGTGGTCTGCTTTAATTGGAGGACCTTTCTCGCAGTCTTTCCTCTCTAGTATGGCATCCCGGAAGTTCCTATTCAAGATGAAAATAGGTTCTGTTTTGTCCGAGGGCATCCCAAACAATGAGTCGGGACCCAGAGGTCACTCCTCTATTTTCCAGCTCATGGGCCTTTGGTGTTTTGTAATTGGACCATGGCCTTGCTTCACTCTGTATGGTACCGCCTTTACTTCACCCTATATGTAGATATGTAGTGGCGGCAGGTTTAGCAGCACCTCCAAAGCTGCGGTTGGAGCTGTTTTCATGGCACCCATAATGCATACGCAGGCTAGCCTTTGCACACTTTGAAGCTGTCTGATTGCTACGATCTGTGTGACGTTTGTATCCCAGGCAACCGAACCGTAGGTTATCATTGGTCTTATCACCCTTTTGTATAACCCCTTGGTATAACCATAGATTCATCTTTGGATTAAGTCCCCAGCTTTCTCCACAGAGCCTTCTGCATCTCCCCAGGGAAATTTTGGCCTTCTGGATAACTTTATTGAGGTGTAGACCCCAGGTCATCTTTTGGACAAAAATAACTCCTAGATATTTGACCTCTTTTGAGAACGGGATTTCCGCTCCATTGAGCTTACGACATCGAAATCCTCTTAGTACTCTTTTCTTTCTGATCGGGGCAATTACGGTTTTCTGCGGATTAACCGATAAGCCTTCATCCCTACACCAGTTATCTACTATGTTCAGTGCTTTTTGAGTTCTTTCTGAGACATGTTCTAGATGCCTGCCTCTGACTACCAGGACTATATCATCCGCGTAACCAAGGCAGTAAAATCTCTCCTTGGCCATTTTCGCCAGGAGATCGTCGACCAGGACCGCCCAATACAATGGCGATAAACTGGTATACTGGATCTACCAGACAGTAATTAAAGCCCATGGTCACATATATCTTATCGGTATGGTGGCCATAAATTGAGTAGGTGACCGCTCAGATCAAACTGAAGAAAGTACAAAGGTACAGTTCACCGAAGTGTGAGAAAAGGAGCATGCAATCACTTGCGCTAATAGGTTATTCCAGACAAATAGATTCAACAAAGAAAATTTATGGAAATAAAGTTGAATGAAAATTGAAAAATTGGAGTTAGTGCGGGATTCGAACGAACCCGCGACCATCGCATTGCTAGTACGAAGCTCTATCAACTGAGCCAACCAACCCACCTCTATTCTCAAAACTGGGGAACAGCATTCTCATGAGAACGGTTGCTCTGTTTTTGTGAGTGTTATAGAACTATAAATATGAAAACGCTGCTCCCCTGTTTCGAGAATAAGGACCCGCTGCTTTTCAGTGAATTAACGGCTGTTTCGTTCGCCTCCCATACACTCCAATCATTTCAATTCTCCAATGGTTTACGAATGTGGCATAGGTCCCGCCAGGATACTTAAGTCGCCTACCATCACTGTTTTGCAAGCTTCGTCCACGATGTGTTAACGTTAACATTCCAAAGTACGCCATGCGACGTAAGCAAAGTTGAACAAAGGGAAAACTTTTGTCGGTTTAGGTTAGGATACCTGGGTTGGTTGGCTCAATTGGTATAGTTGGTCTTCGTACTAGCAATGCGATGATCGCGGGTTCGAATGCCACACTAGCTCCAATTTTCCATTGACTTTAATTTCCATAAATTTTCTTAGTATAATTAGTTTCGGTATCTTAACCGACAAAAATTCTCCCTGGGTTCAAATAAATTCAAGCCTCGAAATCTTAAAGGTCACCTGCGAAAAGACGGTCTCACCTAAAGATTCCAATAGCTGTGGTAATTAATATTTGCCATTCATGGGAGAATAAAGAGCTACAACATGCAGCGAACATCTCGTTGACACAGATGACAGATGACTCCAATCTAACGAAAGGAGCTGGATTGGCTGGACTGGCATTTCAGAAACTTCAAGGTTTCCCAGTCACTCGGCAAATATCAAACCATATTGCAAGCTGAATTTCTTGCAATCAATATTTGCGCACAAGAGTGTCTAAACCAAAACATCAAAACACACGTCTTGATACTATCAAACAGCCAAGCGCTAAGGCTGTGAAGGTCTGCAATTGCATATCAAAGCTAGTCTGCTGGGGGTCAATTCTTGAATATTCTCGCATACGAAAGTTAATTCGAATTCGAAAGACAGCAACGTAAATTGAATAGGGAAAGTTCGAAATCTTTAATTTACCTATGCAAGATTTTTCAAGAATTGGGCGCCTGGGAATGCCACCAGACCCTAAAGCTACTAACGATGCGCAATTTGAGCTGGGACTCTGTAACTAATAGAGATATTTTCGCATTGTCTATTGACGTCCCCTCTCTATTAATTTCGAAAAGAGAGAAGAAAACAGCAAGGGCCATAGCGATAGGGATATCGATCTCTATCCGTTACAGAGTCTCAGCCCTGGTCACCGTGATGTGGGTGCAGGTCACGAGGAAACATAGCCAGCCTCGCAAATAAGGTACTGAAACACAAATTTCCGGCGTAATGAAGAGCCACGTAACAAACGAACCAATTGTCCACCTACTAGAGACAAACTCCAAGACTAAGACAGGCAAAAAGAGTCATCACGAAAGAGGGCAGAACAAATCCTATCTACACATGAACGGATATAATATCAGATTGGTGCTCACCAGACAGTGCAGACACTGCCCAGTGAAATATCACCTTAAGGCAATAGAAAAGGTAGAAGAGTTCAACTGCAGTTTTTGAGAATCTGCAGCTGAAACCACAGAACAATTACTCTGCGACTCTCCGGCTCAAGAAAGAAAGCAGCTTCCTTCCTTCACGAAAAGACCTTAATTTCTTGGACACAAACTGCGAAAATAGCTACCTATGTGCCTTGAAAAATAGCAGAATATACAGTCCCCAGTGTTTATTTAAAATTTATTAAAAAGTTTTTTGAACAATTTTTGTTGTTTTTCCTATACCCCCTTTTTCGACGACACTGCACAAAATTTTCGAGTGTTAACATATACCACGTTTTTCAATTTGATTTTCTAAGGAGAAAAAAAAACCGTATGCTTTCATCATTGAAA